TTCACTTCCCTCACCAGAACCCAGGTGACCTCACAAAGCCCTGTTAGGCCAAGTGTGGTGGCTCATTCCTGTGTCCCAGGACTGGTATTGAGGCAAGACGACTGTCGTCAGTTTGGGGTCAACCTGGCTATATGGTGTACATACATGTTTTGTCTAAACAAAAATCAAGTGCAATCAGACTTCGTTAACCCAGGGCTAGGTACTGCTATTTTTCTGACCCCTTAATCAAACATCCGATTTTAATAATTTACAGAAAGCATTAAAAAGGGTATTAAAAAAGACTTAAGCCCAATTAAAAAAATAACATTCTCCATTCTTTAGAGAATGCTAAACAGGTGGGCGATGGGGGTGCCTGCCTTTAATCCCAGCACTTCGGAGGCAGAAACAGGAGGCTATCTGAGTTCAAAGGCCAGCCTGGTCTACAGAGTTCGTTCCAGGACAGAAGAAACCCTGGCTTTAAAAAAAGGAAAGAAAAAAAAAAGCTCAACAGTGCCCTGGGGGACAGTTGGGTCTCCCAACTGTCTCACTTGGAATTCTCGGCTAAATATTTAAATTCTATTTTCCACCCAACAGTGTAACACAGCCAACCAAATGCCTGTTCCTTCATCAAAAGGATCACCATCCCCTCGGCTTCTAATCACCTGTCCTCCGTTTCTGACCTTACAGGAAGCACCTTTAACATTCATATATTTCTACACGAACAGACTTGGGGAGAGGAGCACAGTTTTAGATTTATAGAAAAAAAATCAGTGGAAAATACAGTTCCAGTATACTCCATTTCTCCTCTTCCCCCAGTTTCCTTATTGTTAACATCTTGTTTTCCTATGGCACATTTGTTATCATTGATAAGCCAGTAACAGCAAATTACTATTAACACTGCAGTTTACATTAGGGCTTGCTCAATGCTGTATGTACATTCTTTGGCATTAGTATTTGTCAAAAACTATTATGTTTCAACCTCCTCCCCTTGCTCAACCTTCTCCCCAAATCCCTGGCAGTCAGTGGTTTTTACTTGCTCTTTGCTTTTTTATTTTTAATGTTATATAGATGGAATCATACTGTATGCAGCCTTTTTCAGAGTGACTCATTTTACTCAGTAGCATCCATCTGATGCCCCCCCCACACCCCCGGTAGCTTGGTAACTTATTTCTGTTAATTGCTGAATAATATTCCACGAACCATATATCCAACAGTTTGTTCATTCTTGTCCTGTTACTACAAACATACACAGAAGTCTTTCGATGTCAGTTTTCTATTCCTTTGAGGAAATACTAAGGAGCAGAATTATTGGAGAGAAGTTAATAGTATGAATAGTTTTTATAAGAAATTGCCAAACTGTCCTCCAAAATGGATGTATCAGTTTGCATTCCTGCTGTCAGGGAAGGAGAGGGAGGTCCTCTTGTCCCACTTTCTTGTCAATGTCCTAGATCTTGAGCATTCTGGTCATGGTATACCCTTGTTTTAATACGCATTTCCCTGAAACTAAGATGTAGAGTTCTTTTCACATCTCTGTCTTCTGTAAATATCTTTGCTGAGGTGTTTAAAGTTTTGGGGTTTGTTATTGAGCATTGTTAAGAATAAACCTATTTTTATTTTGGTTCTAGACTACACAAAAACTACCACTGTCCCTCTGGTGCAAATTGTTGGGAGAATTCCTGCAGAGCTGCAGCTGGTTTGTTTCTGGAGTGTTAGCATCTAGCTTTGGTCTGCCTTTTGTGATTGCTTCTGTCTTAAGTCCCATCTGAGAATTTCCTAGGGGTTCAAAGCCTATGCAAACTTGGTTGAGAGACAACCCAGACAACTGTGGTATTCCTTAACTGAGAATGTGCATTTGGCGTTGTCCCTTTGTGGGGTGTGGGGCGTTTACCCACCAACCCCACAGCTTCCCAGAGTTTTCTTGAGTGTGAGCAGCAGGAAATATTAGATAGAAGGATTTATATTGCGGAGAATCTTGCGGAGATAAACAGATAGAAAATAAAGGATAGCCTCGAGAGGGCCTGGAACCTATTTCAACCGGCTCTGACTATCTCTGCCCCAGGGTATTTATAGAGACGCCAAGGGGTGGAGCAAAAGACCTCCTCCCCCAGCACAGCCAAGTGCAGACCATCTCAGACACCTGCACTCAGGCCCGTGGTCCTATTCATCCTCTATGCGGACCTGCTGGGTAAAGCCACGAGGAACCTGAAAACGGGCTCCCACAGTAGGGCTAACTTAGATAAGAGGTTTTGGTATACAGAATTGACTTGCTAAAGGTGTGAATTGTTTAACAAAAGGGCCCTTTGCTAAGCTACAGTGAGTCAGTCTGGAGAGACTGGTTCCCCTGCCGCTTGAAAGGCTAATTTCATCTTTAAGGTGCCTCTGTGTCTTGATTGCATGGACCCGCGTGAACCCTCCCCTGATATACAACAACAAATACTTTAATAGGCAAGTGTTTTCAAATACCATCTCCCAGTCTGTGGGTTTTTCATTCTAGTCTTCGCCTTTGACTCTTGTTCTATTGGTGACAATATGTAATCTCTTAGATGGCTGTAGCTCTCTGTCATGCTCCCCACTTCCATCCGAGCCAGCACTAGACCTTAATGGACACAGCATCCACCTTTTCAAAACAATTTAGTTTAAATTATACAACTCAAGAATCCTTCTAGCTCCTACTCATCATCAAATTCCAAAGTCACTTTCATATTTCCAGGTTTTTATTTCAGCAGAACCCCATTTCCAGGACTAAAATCTGTGTGGTGGTGTTCCTAGCCAGCAAACAAGGAAGCTAATGTTAGAAGTCTGGTCTGAAGCACTCTTCACCCATGACTGTAGTCTCCCTTGTGGAGATGAAGTGTATCCTGAGTTTAAGAACACTGGCTATGTGTGTGGCTCCTTGGTAGAGCGCCTCCCTGGCATGCTCGAGGCACTAGGTTCCACCCTAGTGCGAGCAGAACAAAACGTGACCTTCATATTAAAACACTTCATAGACAACTAGATTGTTGCTGTTGAAAAAAGTTTAAGGTGACAAGAGAGGAAAAGTCCAATAACCCAAAACTTAGAGACTATGAGCAGCCAGGGTTTTTGGGGTTTTTTTTAATCTTTCTTACATTACACTAGAGAAACAATGAAAACATGAAGTTTTTAGTGAAAATTCGTGACCCACGAATTTCATGTTACCCAAGTTGTCTCCCATATTTAAAGCCTCAGAAATAATAATAAAAAAAAAACATTTATTCCTGAAAAGGCCTTAGGTAAACTCCTTCCAATTTCTTCACTTGCCCACCAACTATTCATGATAATCCAGCAGTCCTTTTTGTTGTCCATGTGACCTCAAGCAAGTTACTCAATCTATTTGTTACTTAATTTCCATTGACGTAAAGTAGGAACAATTAGAGAAAAGTATATCCACTTAATTGCTTTAAGAATTAACTTACTAGATGCAAGGCACTTGGGACCTTGCTTGGCACACAGGAAGTGTTGACAGCTGGTTTTAATCTGATCCCTGCTTCCTGACTATTATGAACACGTTGACTTTCTGTCTTCTGTCCTTCGTGTCTATTCCTTTCTTTTACTCAATTTCAATTTTCTTTGAAATCATAGAGATACTTCTAAAGAGTATCCTCTACTGTTTCTCACCAGCAGCAGTTCAATTTTCTCAAATATGCCTCCAATAGTTGCCACATTTTAAAATATGCCTTTTGGGGGCTGGAGAGACCGTTCAGAAGTTTCTAGTAACCATGTCCAGTGTTAGGGTTCTGGAGAAGCTCTACAAAAGACCACCATCCAAATATGCAATCAACAAGAACGTTCTTTATTTCAGCATGCTGGGGCGGACCATCCTACAAAAAGGCAAAATGGCAACGACCCCCAGAGAAGTACATAAGCTCCTTTTAAGCACAGATAAGGGGAGTTCCTAGGGCTGTTAGGTCATTTTAGATATGATTGGCTTAAGCAAGTGGCAATCATATTAGTATGTTCTGATTGGCCAGGGCTAGTTAGGGCTGGTCAGGGCTACAGTTTTCCATTTTGGGGCAAGTCTGGACTAGTCGTAGGGTTTGTCCTTATTTGGTTATTTGCTGACTGGCACAGGTCTGGCCTGGCCTGGTCTGGCCCGGCCTGGCCCGTGTAGTTTCAGCCTCCTTGTCCTTGTTGTTGGGGGTGTTAGAGATTGATTGTCCTTTGTGGCTCTTTCAGAAACTGCTTGTTCAGTCTCGGGAAACTGAAATTGAGGCCTGATCTCTGAGAGAAGAATGAACAGAGAGCATTAAAATACTGTACCACCACCTCCTTCCGTTTTCTTTAGCATTTAAAAAAATGTGGGACGTTTTTCGAAGACATAAAAACAATTCAATGGGTAATGACAGATATTTTCAAAATGACAAAAATCATATAAAGAATAATGCAGGTCAGGTAATAAAAGTAGGGCTGAATGGTGAAATGTACGCTTGTGTTTTGAAATTCTCAGTGTGGGAGGTCCTGACCCTTGGGAGGTGGAGAAAGTGGATCAGGAATTCAAGGCCAGCTACATCTATATAGCAAGTTTGAGGCCATCCTGAGGAGCATGATACCCTGCCCCAAGATCTCCGAACCAAAACTCTGCAGGTGTGTGTATCTGTCTTTGTTCCAAAGACTAGTATATGACTACCTCTGCTCACAATCCAAGCAATCAGACACAAATAGTAGATAGGCGCAACCTCCGGACCCACCAAGTGGGACCGAAACATTTGTGGAACCCTGGGAAAAGTAATTCAGAAACGCCGCGTGTTGCATTCTGGGAAGTGTGGTCCTTCGTGCTCCCCGGCATGTGGCGCGCGCGTGTGTTGGAGGGAGGAGGAAAGAAAGGGGAGCGTCTGCCCGACCGGAAGTGACCGCTAAACCGACTGTGGGCGTGGAAAGAGGTGGGTATCTGGCCAGTTCCCCGGCGTAGGCTCCAACCCTTAGGTTTGTTGACCAGCCCACGCGATCCAGGATCCTAACGAGTGCGTCACTAGACAGGAGTCCAGGTATCACCATGGCAACCGCCAGGCCCCAGGGAGTGTGACGTCACCTTGCAGGCCGGGAGGAAGCCGGGGAGCTAGGGAAGGGGGCGCGCCTCCCCTCGGTGATGGCGGGGCCGCCCGTTCCCCAAGGCTTTGTTCCTTTGTTCTGGGCCGGGCCAACTGAGCTGCCGGGCAGCCTGCCCTCTGGTGTGCCCCGCAACAGGTGTGTCTGGCCGCGGACCCGGTGGAGAGCGCCTGGTCAGACTCGAGCTAGAGCTTTGCCTAGCAGAGCTGCGCCCTCCCTTTCCACTGTGTGTTTCGGTGCAGTAATCCAATCCTCTCCTGTGCTCTCCGCTCTTGGGCAGGACCTCCTGGCCACTCGGCACGTGTCTGAGGTGCACTGCAAGACGTGTGCTGCAGACTGCATCCTGTGCCCTGTAAGCCAACCTCGGAGGGCATAAGGCACCCACCCTGGAAGGGGAGCGGGACATTCAAGCCCCAGACTGAAGCTGCCTGGGTATCCACGTGTCCAAGTTCTAGCGGAACACAGTCGAGCTCCTGAGATGGCAGGTAATGGGGACTACCGGGGCAGAGCCGGCTGGTGGGGGCCGAACTGAGAGGTGGGAGGAGGAAGCAATGTGGCTAGGGGTAAAAGAAACCTAATTACATCATCCAAAGAGACGGGGAGAGTTAATTCTGTCTCCTGGACGTGAGAATTTGAAAAGGAACAACAGTTCAGAATATCTGATCCTCTTGCTATTTTTCTTTATTTCATTTTAGAATAATAAATTGTTGTAGTCAGGAAAAAAAGTAGTATTCTATCTCTTCAATGCAAAGATAAGTTTTGAAATATCTTGCAGATAGCAATTTTTCAAGCTTGTGGCGGTGCGAGTGTGGCCTTAAACTCGCCATTTTGGGTGCAAACAACATAGTTGTTGTTTTGTTCCTTTTTACCAAAAGTGCCTGTTCTTGTGATCTTAAAAGCACTAGCGACTGTCCGTCCTTTCACAGTGCTACTCTGACCTGTGAATTCAGCTGTTAGAACTCCCCAGTTCTCGTTCGAGTAGCCTGGCCTCATTTCTTTTGATAGGTCCATGTGAGAACTCTAGACTTCTGAGAAGTCTTTTTCCTAGTTAGCACGTTTCTTACATTATAGTGCCTAAAAATAAATATAGTTCTTTACATGTTATTTAAAAAATACCTGAGAGTATAATATGTTACTATTTTTCCCTCAAAATATTTTGTTAAAATTTTTTTAGATTGATTTTTATTTTATGTGTACGAATGCTTACTTTTCATTAGGTATGCATGGTTGCACAGGTGTGCATATTGTGTGTGCCACTAAACTCCCAGAGTTCCACAAGTCCTTGCTTCCTTAGTGTCGGGGTTAAAGGCACGCACCTTCGTCCCCTGCTGTTGACTGACATTTTATGGGTAGCGGAGAAAAGACAGCAGGAATGTCTTGCCTCACTTAATGAGGACCTCAGATTTAGCTGTATGAGCCCTGTGAGTAGTTAAGTGTCAAAAGACAAAGCTGAATCTTAAAGCAGTGTTTTGTTTTGTTTTTTCCCCCTGAGCCTACTCAGGACAGTACAGAGACCTCAGCTGAATCTTTCTGGGGGACTGAGGGATTCAGACATAAAGGAAGGAGAGACATGGTTGTTATTTCCAGGAAGAAAAATGAGTTTTTCTGTATTGCTGGGAACAACAGACTAGTCAGATTCACTCTGGCCTCTTCCTCCTTAGGCCTGTCCTTTGCCGACTCTGCCAGTCTCCATGAGGGACATCCTCTACTTCCATCAACTAGGTTTCGGGTAAGTTGAGATTTTCTTAAGTGCCTTGTTGTAGAATATTATTTTAAGGTGTGTTACTTTTGTTTATGTTGCATTTGTTTAACTCTGTGAAGCTGTGTTACTTTGTCTAAAACACCTGATGGTCTAATACAGAGCTGAACGGCCAATAGTGAGTCAGGAGAGAGAAAAAGGCGGGGCTGGCAAGCAGAGAGGATAAGGAGAGGAGAGATCTGGGAAAAGAGAAGCAGTAGCCAGAGGAGGAGGAGGACTCAGGGGCCAGCTACACAGCAAGCCAAAGAGTAAGAGTAAGATTTACAGAAGTAAGAGAATGGGAAAAGCCCAGAGGCAAAGGGAAGATAGATAATTTAAGAAAAGCTGGCAAGAAACAAGCCAAGCTAAGGTCAGGCATTCATAATTAAGAATAAGCCTCCATGTGTGATTTATTTGGGAATTGGGTGGTGGGCCCCCCAAAAGAGCCAAAAAACAACAACACCATGTCACTTCTCAGAATAATGTGTCTTTTATTGTGAGGTCTGTTTACCCCCAAATCATCATTGGCAAGTCTTTCTGGGCTCTCATCTGTCTTGTGATCTCATCTGGATCCTGCTCTGCCTCTCCAGTTTCAAGGATTCATGCACCATTTACCTCTTACCTAGTATCTTGTAACACTACTGGGTTGGGGGGAAAAGTAGCACAACATTTAATTCACTTGAATAGAGTAAAATGGCCAATAAAAATCAAAACAGGCAAGTTTATGGAAGGCGAAATGAGTGCTGTAGATCTGAGGGAATGTGTGGTTTGCAAGGGACAGAGAGTTACATGGACGATGTGGAATTGTACTCTCTGAGGGACAAGTGACATTTGAATATTGGAGTGAAAAACCGAGTACAGGTATGGAGAGGGTTATGAGTAGAGGTGTGCAGGTAAGCACTGCTAACAGCCACAGATTCAGAAAGATTTGGAGGAGCTGGCTTATTTTGGAAAATTGAATTCAGTCAGAATATGAAAGATCTCGAATATCTAATGAGAAATGTGAGGCTTTATTCTCTAGGTCATCTTTGAGCCATATTAGATTTTAATGTAGGAAAAATGACCTGATAAAGTTGTTGGGAAAATGTATCTTCTTGAGAACTTAGACAAAAGAAAGAATGAGTGAGAGAGAAAGAATTTTTCCACAGGCCTTAATGAACCTCAGAGCCTTCCTTCATCGGGTTTCCTATGCTCACTCAGGCCACACATCCTAGTTCTGCCCAATTTCAACTTAAGGACTTTTAGCATCACTTTTTTCTATTGAGGAATATTGTGACAATAAACTGTATGCATTTAAAGTATATTGTCATTCTTCTATATTCTAGAGGAATTGGTTCTAGGACCCCTAACAGATTCCAAAGCATGTAGATCCTCAAATCCCTCACTTAGACGGCACAATATTTGCATATAACCTGTCCACATCCTCCTGTGTACGTTAGTCATCCTAGATACTTATCTAATAAACTGTAAATACTGTGCAAATACAGTATATGCAGTTGTTTTACTGTATTTAGGGAGTAGTGACAAGAACAATATCTGTGCATGTTCTTTGAATATGTTTAACCTACAGTTGGTTGAATCTACAGATGCAGAGGCCAACTGTAATTGGATAAGTTTTAACATACATGGAAGTTCATAAAACCATCATCATGTTCTAAGTAGTTAGTGAACATATCCATAGTCAGAAGATATACTTTGTGTGGCTTGAATACTTTTAAATTTAGTGATTCATTTGACTTTTCTTTTGCTTAGAATATGAGCCATCTTATGAATGATCAGAGAGTACTGTAAAGGAAGGTAAAGTAGCTCATATTGGGTGAAGTGTTCAATACATATGTTAGTTTCCTATTGTTACTATAATTAATTATAGAAGCTTAGTTTGCTCAAAACCATAGAAGCAAAAAATCCAAAATGAAGCTGGGATTAGTGGCACAGGCCTTTAATCTCCCAGCACTTGGGAGACAGAAGCCAGCCAGGATTATATAGCAGGGCCATCTCTCAAACTAGCGACTCCACAATATAGTCTTTAAGCCAACAGGAATATTTGGGTATATTTTAAAGATGTAAAGATCTCACTTAAAATTTTTTTTTTTTGCCGAGTTAATTGTAATGGTATGATGTAGTGATCTTAAGATCGATTGTATCTTAATTTGAACAATGCTTAATCCTATGCAGCTCTTAAACACATAGGCCTATTTTGAGCTGTTGTTTTCTTACTGGACTTTATTCTGTAACATGACACTGTTTCAGTTGCTTTATACTTTGGTGTCCTTTGCAATGTAACAGGGCAGCTGGGTGTGATGGCACATGCATTTAGTCCCAGCACTGCGGAGGCAGAGGCAGGCTGACCTCTGAGCTTGAGGCCAGTCTGGCCTACAAAACGAGTTCCAGGACAGCCAAGGTTGTCACACAGAGAAAGAAACTCTGTCTCAACAGCCCCCAACAACAACAAGCTGTAATAGGACAAGTCTCCTCCTCCATCCCATGTTGTCATAAAGTTGTTGGATATTCCTGCACATTATAGATAGTAAAAATGTTATTGATGATAGCAGTTATTAATATTCGCTTCTTAGAACTCAGAGGTAAGGAAGAACAAGGACAGTATTGGCCAGTAATGCCTGAGCACTTACTTGGATGCCTGAATTAAGCACTTCACAGGGAAAAAAGGTTTGCTTTTGGTTTTTGGTGCTGAGGATTGAACCTACGGCCTTGCCCATGCTCTGCCAATGTGAGCTACATTACCACCCTCCACATAGAACATTTATTTTATTCTTAATAACAATCCTATGGGTATTATGTAGATGGATTTTTCTTTGGGCCGCCAGCTCACAAATAATGACATGGAGACTTATTAATTATGAAGACTTGGCCTTAGCTTTGGCCTGTCCCATAGCTCTTATAACTTAAATTAACCCATTTGTGTTCATCTATTGTTCTGTCACGTGCCTCATCACCTCATCTCTCCATCCTGCCCATGCTGCTTCCTTGGTATCTGGCTGGCGATTCTGCCTGCAAGTCCTGCCTGTGCCTCCTGCCTAGCTATCCGCCATTCAGCTTCTTATTACACCATCACAACAATTAATTTTCACACAGTGTGCAAATATCACACAGCAAACTATTTTAAATTTTTCCAAAAGTGGACATCCTAGTGACATGCTAGTATCACTTTAGTTTATCACCTGTCTTGCTTCTATGGATATTGTTAATTTTACCAATTTCCTAAGGCTAAGCAATAGAATACTTGATGTTTTAGGAATCAGTGACCTTTAAGGATGTGGTTGTGAACTTCACCCAGGAAGAATGGAAACACCTGGATCCTACACAGAGAGATTTGTTCAGAGATGTGACGTTGGAAAATTATACACACCTGGTCTCTATAGGTGAGGGTGATGCCCCCAAGTTAAGATGAGGATGTGGGGTGAGGGTGTATACCTGGTCTCTGTAGGTAAGGGTAACCCTAAATTTATATGGTGTGGGAGGCAAATGCACACCTCATCTCTGTAGGTAAGGGTAGCCCGAAGTTTTGATGGAGTGTGGGGAGGAGGGTACATACCTGGTCTCTGTAGTGAGGGTGACCCCAAATTTAGATGAGATGTGGGAAGCCCATTATCTCTTGTGCTTAGATGTGATTGACATCTAAGTTTAGAAACCAACAATTTTAAATTTTGGGAGTTTCTCCTCATTATTAAGTGGAACAGCAGACTAATCTATCTCTCTTGAGATCAGCCTCTCAGTTGCCCCATTGTTTATGACAGTTGACATGCTATTCATCGCACCAGATTTTTCCCATGTGGAATATCTTAGAAATAGAGTGGTGAGATTACATTCTGATCCAGTGCTTTTTCCTTATTGCAGACAGATTCCTTTTTTTCTCCTCTGAGCAGGACTGCAGGTTTCCAAACCTGATGTGATTTCCCAGCTAGAACAAGGGACAGAGCCATGGATTGAGGAGTCATGCATTCCTATTGCTTCCATGGAAGGTAAGTAGTGTGTGACAACAGAGGACTGCTCTCTGCAGGTGCCAGCCTGGTGAGAAGTGACTCTGTGTAGATGTGCACTCAGAGCATCACCTGTGGAGAGATGAGATTCTCTTTCACATTCTCTTTAGAGGAGGCATCCTTCCTGATTGTTGTAAAGCAGACTCTCAAACAGAGCTCTGCACTCCCTCTTCCCACTTTCTTTTGATCCAGGATTGTCCCCTCACTCTCTGTTTTCGGGTTTCAAATGGAAACACATGATATCCCCAGATGCTTTCACTCAACACTGGCCATCATCCAGTCTCTTTTCTTTGTCTCCAACCAAACTAAAATAAAAGTGAGTTCCACACCTGCAGCTTTTTTTTTTTAAAGCACATACTCCCTTCTTACTCTAATGCATAGTTTCATATTCTGTCACTTTATCATTCTGTCCTTGAGATTCTGAATAGTTCTGAATAATAATCTTCTAAGTCATCAGTTTCCAAACTGCACAAGGAATTTCTTCAAGGTCCTGACTCTGGAATAACCTAGTCACTCTGTTTATTGCTGTACTATTCACAATAGCCTAGATGCCCATGAACCCAGGAATAGATGAAGAAAATGTGATACATCTACACTGGAATTTTATTCAGCCATAGAGAAAAATGAAATCATAGCCAGGAAGTAGTGGTAGCCTTTAATCCCAGCATTCGGGAGGCAGAGGCAGGCAGATTTCTGTGAGTTCGAGGCCAGCCTGGTCTAGAGCAAGTTCTGGGACAACCAAAGCTTTTACACAGAGAAATCCTGTCTAGAAAAACTAAAAAGAAGAAAAAAAAATGAAATTGACATTTGCAGTACCGTTATGTTCTTTGTATCCTAAGTTTTTTCAGGACTCTCATGGCAAAGGGATGTTGAGCTTTGTCTAATGCCTTTTCTGCATTTATTGAGGTGATCATGTGATTTTTGTCCTTAGTCTATTTACGTCTTATTTACAGATATGTATCTATTGAATCAGCCTTGCATCCCTAGGGTAAAAAAACTGTGGTTGTTATGTATGATCTTAATGTGTTCTTGAATTTGGCGACCAGGTATTTTGGTGCAAGTTTTTGTTCCTGTATCAGTCTGTACTTTGTTGTTGTTTTGTCTTTATCAGGTTTTGATATCAGAGTAATACTAGCTTTATAAAATGAGTTTGGTGTATTCCCCTCTGTAGCTGGAGTTTTTCTGCCTGGCCCACAGTCAGGACAAATCTCTGACACCCGCCAGTCCCAAGCCGTTCAAACCCGATCAAGTAAACATAGAGACTTATTTTGGTTACAAACTGTATGGCCGTGGCAGGCTTCTTGCTAACTGTTCTTACAGCTTAAATTAATCCATTTCTATTAATCTATACCTTGCCACGTGGCTTGTGGCTTACCGGTACTTTACATCTTCCTTGTCCTGATGGCGGCTGGCAGTGTCTCCCTCACCCAGCTTCTTGTCCTCTCTCTTCTCCTCTCTTAGTCCCGCCTATACTTCCTGCCTAGCCACTGCCAATCAGTGATTTATTCATTGACCAATCAGCAACACATTTGACATATAGACCATCCCACATCACTTCCCCTTTTCTTTTCTTAAAAAGGAAGGTTTTAACCTTTACACATCTCCAAAGTCAGCTTGGTATATTTGGGAATTTGGGCGTAGCTTCTCTTACTACTTCCTGCTGGAGGGGGGCGCTGTATCTTCTGGGGAAACAAAGAAAATTTTAGGATCATGGAGTAGTCCGTGAGGCTGTATCATCTGAGCCAGTTGCCTTGAAACGGTTTTGGATGTTGGATCATCTGGGCCATGGTGTCATCGGAGACCTTTCAGGTGGTCTTGGCTGGTCAAACCTGATGTGTCTTAATCTGGAACAAATCCATAGCCTCTTGCTTTCTGTGGAAACAAAAGAGACTCTTTTCCAAAGCAACATATCCTTACATCCAAATTTTGAAGTCAAAGTATCTTTAAAATATACATACTGGTTTAACTCAGCTTCCTTTACAATCAAACATCTCTCTGTAGTTAAGAATCCCAAAGACAACACAATCCAGACTCTCTGTGTAATAGTCATCTCTACGTGGCTTATTTTTTATATTAATTTTACTGTCTCTTTAAAGACTTTATTTTTTAAAACCATGTATTTGTTTTTATACTGTATATATCACCTTTTTTTGTCTCTTTCAAGCCTACGTATATTTTACACACATTTTAAACTATTACATCTGAATCTGTCTTATTGTGAATCTGTTGCTTTAAGCTGCAGCATCTGTGGCTGCTGGCTCCGCCCACCTCAGTTTCCCAACATGGCGGCAGTATGCTTACCGCCAGCTCTGGGAGCCATCGTGGGTCTATGCTTTTATCCAAGCAGCATGTAGCCCAGAAACCTCTTTTTTTTTTTGTTTTGTACTAGCAAAGGCTAAATCCACAATGCAGCTTAATGTGCCACTTGCAGAGGCCTCATTCCCGCCATATGGCGGCAGGTCGAGCGCGCACACTAGGAACCCGCCAGTAGCTCAAACCGGCAGCTGCCGCCCATTTGAGAGAGACAATTAGGAACTGTTTTTAGCTCCGTTTTAGAATCCTTTTTCTCAGTTTTTAGGTGGAAACTCTTGCCACCACGTTGGACGCCATTTGTAGCTGGAGTTTTTCTGCCTGGCCCACAGTCAGGACAAATCTCTGACACCCGCCAGTCCCAAGCCGTTCAAACCCGATCAAGTAAACATAGAGACTTATTTTGGTTACAAACTGTATGGCCGTGGCAGGCTTCTTGCTAACTGTTCTTACAGCTTAAATTAATCCATTTCTATTAATCTATACCTTGCCACGTGGCTTGTGGCTTACCGGTACTTTACATCTTCCTTGTCCTGATGGCGGCTGGCAGTGTCTCCCTCACCCAGCTTCTTGTCCTCTCTCTTCTCCTCTCTTAGTCCCGCCTATACTTCCTGCCTAGCCACTGCCAATCAGTGATTTATTCATTGACCAATCAGCAACACATTTGACATATAGACCATCCCACATCACCCCTCCTTTTCTTTTTTTGTGAAACAGTTTGAGAAGTATAGGTATTAGCTCTTCCTTCAAAGTTTGGAAGAATTCAGCAATAAACTCATTTGGCCCTGGACTTCTCTTTGTGGGGAGACTTTTAATTACTGTTTCAATATTGTTACTGTTATGGGTCTGCAAACATTGCTTACATCTTGGTTTAATTTTGCTAACTCACATGTATTTAGGAATCTATCCTTTCGCCAAGATTTTCTAGCTCTTTTGAATATATTTTCAATGTATTCCCTAATTATCCTCTGGATGTCATTGGTGTCTTTTGTAAGCAGTTCCTTTTGAATCTCTAATTTTGCAAAGGTGCATCTTCTGTTCCTTTTGTTGGTTTGGCCTAAGATTGTCAATCTATTTATCTCTTCAAGGAACTAACTCTTTGACTTTATGCATTGTCCTTTTAAGTCCCTGTTTCATTATTTTCAGCCCTATTCATTATTTCTAGTCATGTGCTTTTGGGTTTGGCTTATGTCCAGTTTGCTTTCTATTCCTGTGATAAACATCATGACCAAAAACAACTTGGGAAGGAAAAAGGTTTTTTGGCTTAAACTTCCTGGTCATAGTCCATTATTGAAAAGCCAAGGCCAGGACTCAAAACCATATAGGAACCTGGAGACAGAAACTGAAGCAGAGACCATAGAGGAACACTGCTTATTGCCTTGCTCGCCATAGCTCACGCTGCTTGCTTGTTACTACAACCTAGGACCACCTGCCCAAAGGTGGCACCATCCACAGTGGGCTGGGCCCTCCCAGTTAATGTTAATCAAGAAAATGCCCCCACAGACCTGCCTACAGGCCAATCTGATCCAGGCAGTTCCTCAGATGAAGTTTCACTTCCCAGATTATTCTAGCTTATATCAAGCTGACAAAAAACTACTCCAGCTTGTTGTTTTTTGTTTGTTTATTTTTTAATTTAATCTTATTATTTTTTTCTAGAACCTTGAAGTTGGGAGCAGGAGAGATGGCTTAGGGTTTAAGAGAGCTTGATGCTCCTCCAGTCTACCCAAGTTCAGTTCCCAATAGCTTCGTAGGGTAGCTCACAATCACCTTGACTCCAGGTCCAAGGAATTTGCTATCTCTGTCCTCTGGGCACAGGCACCCATGTACATATGTTCACACACACATTAAAATTAATGTCTGTGTGTGTTTAACACTGAGATATATCATTAGATTGTTTGCTGTTTGTCTTATTTTTTCTTTTTTAATTATGTGTAGGTGTGAATGTCAGCATGTGGGTATGCACATGCGAAACCCACACCTCTGGTTCTTTTTTTTTTAGGGGCCAGTGGTTAATGTATGCACATACAGCTATAAACTTAAGAATTACCTTAGCTTCTGGTAAATTGTGCTATCATTTTCTTTTGAGTCTAGGAAGTTCTTTATTTCCTCCCTGATTTCTTCAATGACCCCACTGTTCATTCACATGTATCTTGTTCAGTCTCCAAGAATTTGTATTGTTTCTGTGGCTTCTCTTGTTGATGGTTTCCAATTTTATTCCATTATGACCTGATGAGATACAATGAATTAATTTTGATCCTTTTGTATTTATTAAGGCTTGCTTGTGGTCTCTAAGATGATTTCAAGGGCTGCTGAGAAGAGTGTACGTTCTATATCTGATGGGTAGAATGTTGTGCAGATATCTAATTCCAACTGATACATGGTATAATTTAGCTCTGAAGTTTCTTTGGTGATTTTTAATTTGGAAGACATCTAAAGGTGAGTATGGATTATTGAAGTGTTTCAGTATTTCTATATGAAGACCTTTCTGGCCTTTCATGCCTTTCAGTATTTGTTACATTAAATTGGGAACCCAAACATTTGTTATATCTCCTTAATAAATTGTCCCCTTTGTTAATATGCAGTGGCCTTCTTTATCTATTCTGACTAGTTTCAGTTTGGGATCTACTTTATCCAATATCAGAATAGTTATGCTAGCTTAATGTAAGTTTGCA